GCTGGACACATTTTTCACTTCATTTCTAATGTCACTTCCCTGTCCTTTACCCCCAAGATTTACAACTTGATAATATAAATATCAACAGCAATACTGCTGAGTTTTGTGGAAATAATCCTGGGGAGCAAAGATCATTTGAACGCTCATTTTCTCTTAGGATTCTCATGTAGCTTTACTGGACAGGCAACTTTCATGTTGACAAGCAGCCCCTTCAGCAAACTAGCTTCAGGGTACCAAACACCATACTGTAAACAGTGTACTCAAACCTGCCAGCCTGGCTTTCTCCAGAGAGAGCCTCTGGCGTGTCAGCTGCTACAGCTGTTTATGGCAGAAAGTCCTGGAATTCACCTCTTTTGGCAAACTTTGATTTCAGCTGATATGACCTCGATTTGGCACAGCTTTTTGCTTCATAAAATCTTTGAAAACTAACGTAACATGTCTATTTAAGTGATATATTCCTGCACAAACATCACATTAAGCACAGCTGCGATACCTATGACTATCAAACACATTACAAGCAGTAAAACAAACTAATACAAGCCAAGAAGAGCCACCCATATAATGTTTGGATCTTTGCATGACTTCTTTGTGTAGCAACATAAGAATGCTAGAGTGAACGTCATGAAAACAAAAACACACAGTAACATTTTTTGCTTTGGTATAGCTTCTTGAAATGGGTTACATGTGCTAAAACTCCAGAATAATATATATATCTTCTTTCACCAGTTTTGGAATCTATCTGTATGTAGTAAGGCATGACAGTAAGGAATGAATATAGAGGAGAGAGAAAAAAAAAGAGAGATTCTTTCACTGGGTTGTCAAATTAAGGCAGAAATCCCAGATCTATCCTAGAAAAACTCTGCCAGTTTTGGTACATTATAGTTAGGAGTATTTTCTTTTCTTTGACATTTCTGTATCAGTAAAAGCTCTATTTTTATGCAGCTTACATTACTGCCAACATGTTTTGTTTCGTTGGCCTAGATTCATGAAACCAGGCTAAGCCAATCAGTAGTATGAACAGAAAACACTTTTTTATTTCCTGGTTATACACACTGAAAGTGTTTTGGGGCTTTTTTCTTTAGGGTAGACTTGACCCGTCATCTCAAGTTTAAGTTGCATCTGTGCTTTTAGGTATTCAAAAATGCAGAGGTCCTCATTATCAAGTGTGTTTGACCACATCCTGCTAGCACATCACTACACCATCTTTAAAAACCAAACTTTTCACCTCTATGCTTAATATAGTTCACCAAAGGTGGACAATAAGAAATTTGAGAGCAGACTCTTTTGTCCTTAGAAATACTTCTCAGACCACATTCTAGTGACTTTGAAAACACGTGACTTTTTTACTGCTGACCTGCCATTCAGCTTCTCTAAGAGTCATAGAGACAACAACCTCTCCAACAAAAAAAAAGCAATGAGGCTGCACCCTCAACTGCTTAGAGACCTTTGAGCACCTAAAGAGAGGCGATTTCGTCTGAGGTGTGTCACACTTCAGGTATGGGGTTTCTGCATCTTGTCAAGAAGATCTTGTCATTCATCAAGTTAACTAGCAACAGTGACCACTACGAATACATGATCAATTAGCTAGATTTTAGGAGAACACTATTCAAGGATGCTTCACACTCCTATGCAACTAACATTTTCCTTTTGGCACCTAAGGGGTGTAATTTAAAGATTCTGCAAGGAGGAAGAGGAAGAAGTGTGTTTACATAGCAGGCTCTGCAATTTTTTTGTGTGGTCTGTTTTTTTGCTGAGGTAGCAAGTGCTTGAATAAACCTTACTAAGAGATGAAAGCTTCAAAGTTTTTTGCTTCCAATAACAACTGTGTGTTTCCTTTCAAAAGGCTAGAACACATAATAAAATAAAAAGCTCAGCTAGTTTTTATCGATATCGTCGGTCTGTATTTCTGAAATCTTTTAACGCTGCCTACTTTTTTGTGGTATTTTTGACAGTTTAGGTTTTAGAAAATGTACGATTACCTGTCTAACCTTTGTTTATCCAAAGTGTTACACATGTTTGTTTTACCGAAGCGTCCCAGGCCCAACACCGAGCGAGGAGCCCCCGACGAGTCTCCAGCAACATCCAACTGCCGCCCGCTCCCGTCAGACTTGGCAAGCGACGGGATGAGCGCGCCCTGCTCCGACACAGGAGCACCCAGACCTACCTATGGAACAAGATCCCACACCTGCGGTCTGTCCAGATGAAACTGCCTCTCTAAAACACATCCTTTCTCATTGGCCATATCCCTTATTTCTTCAGCCTCCATGCAGCAGGCACCTTTTTTCCAGTCAGACAGGGCTCCCGGTTCCCAGCGATCCAGAGCAGCACTGCTAAAGCTGGACCATGCTGCCAGGTTGGCAGGAGTTGTTACAAGTTCTTAGCTTAGGTCAACCACAAGATCCACAGGGAATATTAAAAGGTCCTCCTGCGATCAAATTTATTTTCAAATCACCTGTTAGTTTTGACATGCTATTTTAAAGAACTAATCTGTAAAATAAGAGAAAGGCAGTAGCCTTCTGTTAAGGCAACAGAAGACACTTGTTTTAATCATCAAAACAAGCACAACTGCTTAGAAATCTGGAATGAAAGATGCAGTGAGTCTAGAAATAAACTTGAAACAGCAGAAGCTTTAAAGTTACACACCTGAACTTTTGTCTCTTTACATATCTGTTAAAAAATTTCCTAACAATGGTTCAACCCTACAGGCTCTCCCTCCCATGCATGTTGAATCAGTCGCAGGTTTCCTAGCTCTACCTAATTCTTTGGTCTCTCACACTCTGCTTCTCTGAGCCATCAACACGTCTTTCGCCACGGTCAAGTTGCTCATCTGCAGCTACAGGGAGAGCCTAATTCTGTGGAATAATGAAAGAATCTAGCTGATAAACAAAATACCATTAAGAGAAGTAACTGGAGGAGTTTGAAGCACGTTATGAATTACGGTCAAAATATTTTATAATGTAATTATTCATTAAAACAGTTACCATTTCTTCAAAAGCCAATGCTAATCTCCAACTAATATCATTAATGAGTGATATTGCACTAATTCTGAAACTGGTAGCATTTTAAAGAAGGCAAAAATGCATCTGAAGCAGCAAATAGGAGTCTCCTTTCCATTTTTTTTTTCTTCTAGGAAGTGAACATTTATAAGTATTTGCTTTAGTATAATGGTGTCACTATGAACACTAATGGTGTCACTAATTGGACACTACTATTCAGTCTTAACACCTAGTATTTTAGTATTTTAGAGAAATAAAGAATCCTAGCTATACACAACTGAAGTCGTAGAACTCACTACTGTTATTTATTATACTCGATCAACTCAAACTACAGGCAAAGTCTCAATTTAGTGCAAAACAGTAACAGTCGTTTTTCTCCCCATTCCCCTCCCTCCCTTCTTTTTTCCCTTGTGGGCGATACCACATCGGTCTTTGGCTTCCTGTGCATTTCTGTTATTCTTTGAGCTGTTGGTTTCACTCTTGCTTTAAGCCCTGAAGCCCTTCACTTCAAGTCCTCCTCAGGACAGGACTTTGTGGTATGGTCAAATCTCTCGCAAAGATGGAGGGCACTTTGTTGTTGTTCTGAGTATTCTTTAACCTCCACGTTTAATTTGTTTTCAGATGAAAAAACCTCAAGTATATTAATCCGTATATAAAATACTTGTCTTTATACTGCTTCAGCACAGAGAAATAAATAAATGAATATACTTAGATACTACTACAAAAGCTACCTCAAAACCAAGGATAAACTTATTCACGTACACTGAATAACAAGACTTGCATAGAGTGCAATTACTACTCTCAACTATAAATCAGCTATAAATCAGCTCATTTGTCACTAGAGATATTGAGATTTAGATTAACTAACAGCACATGTGCCCTCAAACGTAAGTATTATATAAAAGTGGGCACTAGGAGAGCTAGAGAAAATGCTTCAATTCTCTGAAGATGAAACTGTACCCTCCAAAATGATCTGATGCTCTGTAGGGGGAGAAGGGAAAGAAAACTATTCTGTTCTGAAACTAAAAATAAGCATGCAGACATTTACTTAGTTGTATTAGCAGCATTAATTCGGAGCCCCAGCCCTTGCCAAACTCTCTAATACAAAACCACCGGCTTAGCACCTTGCTCTATTATCAAATGAAGTCATCTCTAAAGCAAAAAAAACAAGGTGCTTGCGTAGCACAAAATGGTAATGCCAGGCAAAAATAGTGACTTGTAGAACGAAAATAAAAATGAGTGTTATTTGAAAGTGTCTATACGAAAATAAAAATGAGTGTTATTTGAACTAAGAAAGTGTCTACCTGAACACTCCTTTAGCCTCTCCTGCAACAGTCAAGCTCTTGAGAGAAATGCTGAACAAGTGGAAATGAAAAATCAGCAATTTCTGACTGTCTTCAGTAGTTCTTCACCAGGACACAGGTTCAAAGATGACTCAAACCATTTTTTTTTCTTTTAATTGGCACTTTGCTAGATGAGAATGGATTAGATATATATATTTTTAATTGGGTTGTAAATATGAAGCCACACAGCTTGTCATCCATGACTAAATTCCTAAGAGCTGTATATTCCTATAAAGTGCTAATTCTTATGATTGGATAGTAATGTTTACATAATTACATCATCACTCTACAGCAAATGTTCCTGAACACTCACCCACCAAAAAAGAAAGAAAAAAAAAGAAGAAAAAAGAAAAGAAAGAAACAAAAGAAAGGAAAAGAAAAAAGTAAGCAGAAGGTGAACAAATGAGAAACGAGATTCTTTTTTTACCATATTCAAAGATGAGATACATAGAATGAAAAATTGCCACCATTTTGGACTTTTAAGATGGAATCTATCAAATTTAATAAGTATTTTTTTAAATGTAGGTTTCACAGGGGAAAAAAAAAAGCTTTTACCAGAGTAAAAAATTATTACTTAATATAGATATGCCTCACCTGCACACGTCATGGGTGCCGACACATTTTCTTGTGATTCAGAAATCAAGCCCCCCATACTTCTTACCTTATCACTTTTTTTCACAGATTTCTTCTTTTTAGGATTATCCTTCCAGAGAGATTCTACAGCAATATATCCCTGTAGACTCCAGTCATACAGATGCATACCAGCAACCTTAGAAACAAAAGGTATTAAAAGACATGAATTTAATAAGCATCTGAGCAAGATTATCTTGCTCATTGTTCAAGTGGAAGAGATTTCCAGAGCTCAGATCTTTAGCAGAGATGTTTTAGGGAGACACACATGCTGTTCAAGCTCAGGGTGTACAGCATTAGTAAGCATCTGGAAAGAAACAAAAATGTCACATAGAGAAGTAGAAAAGTTACCTGCTTTAGCAACCTGCTAAAATATGCTCAAATAACACATTAAAGTATATTTGTATAAAAACGGGTGGATAGAGGATGCTGCATGAAAAGAATTCTGTATTTCATAATATTCATTCTGCAGATTAACATATTTACCTTTTTTTTTTTTTTTCTTAATTTGACCTTACTGCCATTGTAGAAATTTTATTTTGTTACTACTTTGCAATTTTACATTTTCAGCACTTGGACAAAACAGCGAGGGTACTTCTTGGCTTGTTTGCTGCTCAGAAGCGAGACCCAATCTGGGCAAGCACACGTGACACTCCCTCCTAAGTTCCTCCCATCTCCAGCACCTTGCTGCTCAGAGATTCCCTGAGCCACAGGAGGTTTCTGTGCAATAACTCCCAATGTGCTTCTCTCATATGGAGCTGAGCCTCTCCATGAGCCCCTGTATTCCTCAGCATCCACAACATCCTGTGTCAAGGAGTTGCACAGCTGGGCATATATCCTGGGATGAGTGGGCACGTATCCTGGGATGAGTCACTTGCCTCGGTTGGCCAGAACACACGGGCCTTGGCTCGTTGTGTAGAGCTGCAATGGATGTGTTTGCAGGCAGAGAGCGGGTGACACCTTTGCACAAGGCAAGCAGACAGACCCCCAGCCTTGCACTGTTCCTTTAGTGCTGCATTACATGTTAGGAAGAGTGCAAATACAAAACCGGCTGTTCAGAGACCGCAGCAGGGACAGCTCTGCCACTGGGGATTCACGATCAAAGAGGTGGTTTGCCCCACACAGGTGGCAATTCCTGTGCGATGAGAAAGCCCGTGCTAGGCAAGCTGCATGTTTCAGAGTCAAGAGAAACATTCGCAAGAAATTTTGATAACCACCCAGTGGTTACACATCCCCTAGCGAGCACAACAGTGCAGCCACGTGTTAGAAACCGTCAGGCAGTCAGGTATTTTCTAGCTCTTTTCTTCTTTTTTTTTTTCTGCATAGACTGGAGAATTTTAAGACTATTGATGTATGGGCCCAATTGGCAGCAGTACCAGTTTCAGCCAGGCAAAGTGACAGGAAGGATAATAGATACAAACAGTTCATTCAAATTGTTCAAAGTACTCATTTGAACAGTCATACAAAGACTTTGTTTGAAAAGTGGCAAGTTTTTCCATGCTGCCGTCCAGAATTCCTAAATCTGGGGACAGCTTTGGGCTATAGCACTTTCCAATTTGTCTGCGTTACATGATCTAAACGACGCCCTGTGCCCGGCGCAGCACTGCGAGGTAGTTTGAATGCTAACATTTGACCAAACAAGTTCAAAAGTCACACGGACCAGCTGTCAACAGGCATCCTGGAGGAGCTGCGGGTGACCCCAGCCAGAGAGCCCACCGAGCCCAGCAGGCAGCACCAACCACTCACGGCACCGGGCCGGCCGCCGTGCGGCCTGCAGGCTGAGGCTGCCAGGAGCCACTTCCCCGTGCGCCAGCCGGGAGGACCCCGGAGCAGAGCCCCAGCCAGCACGTCCTCATCAACGCTGTGTGCTGAGAAGCCAAACTGAGGCTCCGCCGGCTTTTCTGCCTCCGCATGGGCATCCCTAGCAAAGCAGAGCACAATTTCACAAGCGCTTCATTCTGTGGCAGAGGGGGCCGCACGACCCCAGCTCCCTCTCCACATCTCCTGGCTCTCCGTTGCACTAGAGCAGCTGTGAGTGCACCGCGTGCGACGCTCAACTAGGCAAGGAAAGATGCAGAGGTCAAAAATGACCACATAATTTAGTTTGCTGGAATAAAGGAATATTTGCTGGAATAAGGAGATACACTTATGCAGTAGGATGTTTTTTTCCTCTTTCCAAGAAGCAAGTAGGGATAAAAGACATGTTGTTTGAGGAAATTTGAGAAGTAAAAATATGACTCACAAGTCTTCTAAAGAGATCATTTTAACTAACGTAAAAACGGAAAGTTTGTCCAGACATGAGAAGCCACGGTTAATGTAAAACCTTTTCACATACATCATGGTTAAGTGGAAAGCAACACAGTTTCAAAACACTAGTTAAAGTTCCACTAAAACAAAATAAACAACATTTTATCAAATCAAGTTCCCTTAGACATATATGGCCTGATCATTTGCTAAAGTTTATACAAATGAAATTGATAGCAGCAGTGCAGCAGTAAATTCCTTACAAATTTGTGCTCTATCAGAATGACTATGGGAAGGGGTGCCCCACACACTTCTTTGTTCTCCAGTTAGAGAATCAGTTTCTGAAAACTACATATGAGCTACAGTGAGCTGTGCTACTGTAAGTGTAGTTAGCAAACCATGCATTTTAGTTAAAGGAAAAAAGGTCTCCTCCCAGGTAGATGCATTCTGTATTGTATCTCAGCTGCAAATACATTTTGCTGGGTTAAATTCCAAACTCTGCAATGTAAAGTCATTAATAAGGGTACTACGGAGAAGATACCTTAAAGGAATATAAAGCATGGCCGAATTCAAACTTTGCCAGCTGAGGGGAACTATACGATGGCAAAAGGAAAGATAGTGATGAAATGCTCAAATGTGGAAGAAAAACAATGAGAGCAAAACATAAGGAAAAACTTACATCCCAAAATCTGTTCTATCAACATGGCTTGTAAGCCTCAAACTCCATTTCTTTTTAGGCTTACAGAAACTTTTTGAATTGCCTATGAAACATTTCAAAATAATAACTGGAGAAGAAAATGCTTCTAAATACAGATTAAAAACAGAAAAAAAGTAATCTCCCTATGCTTAATTTTCTTCCTTTTTAAGGGAAAAAAGGGGGCAACAGAGAGAACAGGGGAATCAATAACAAAAAAAACACTGAGTACATCACTCTCCATAGAGGCTTTCCAACTCTTAGATCTAGCATCCTGACCAAGTCAACAGAACTAAACCTACCCCAATCAAGTTTCAGGCTCAGTGTTTCGCACCAAATCTTTTGTTATAGTCAGACTAAGAACTGTGAATTGATCAAAGTGAAAGCATGCACTTCAAAGTCCTGGTAAAACAAACGAGGTATTGTGAAGCTATTAGTACAAAATCCGTAGTTAATGCTGAACTGAGTTTCTTTTAAAAATGTATAATCAGTTTGAACACTATTCAATCACTTCCTCCTTCCTCTGTTCAGAAGATAATAAGAATTTCAATACAGAGAATACAGAAAAGTCTAAGCTCTTAAACACTGATGCTTTTTCCTGCCACTTGCAAAATTTTCACTCACTGAAGACAGTCAACATAATTATTTGTATTTAGAGTATCTAAATCTTGGAATCATTGAAAAGATCCCAGGCAAGTTCAAGGTATCACCTTACAGAGTATCTCTGATATACTGAAATATGTACGCTGTGGGTGGTCAAAGTGCTGGATTTGAAGAAGAATTTGGTGGACATCAGAGAATGTGGCAGCAAGGCTGAGTACACAGAGGGTATATGAGCTGAGATCCGTACGGCACTTGCCTGGTCTTGTAGTTCCTTCTTTCACAGGAATTTCACCTAAGCAACTCTAAGTTTCTATGTTCCTTATATATCTCTGAAACACAAATGCATGAATAGGAAAGGTGTCCAATGAGCGGCTGAACTCTAAGCTCAGAATGGGCTAAATCCAGAATGTATGTACTACTTTTTTAAAAAATTGTATCCAACAAAAGGCATAAAACTTCATTCAGAATATTTATCTCAAAATGGAGTTTCTATGATTTCTCCATAGAATCTTTTTCTCTCTCTTTTCTTTTAAAACCCTCCCCAACCTTGTTTTCATACACTCTCAAGATATTTCAAGCATCTTTAACATTGTAACTTACCACGTAAACTGTACTTGCTAATCATGTTTATGTTAATTTACAATTATTGGAGTTTAAAGACTAAGAAAGGAATTCATATTCCTCAAAATGAAGACTCTCCTATGGGTGTCAAAAGCAAAATGAAGTCACTGAAAGAAATGGAGCATCTGGCCAGCATTGTTTAGATTGCATGTCCTTTGATAAAATAATCAACAATTTTACTTTGTTAAGTTCCAGTCACGCAGACAAGACTTTTATAAAAATGGATTATCTATTAATTTCAAGGTATGAAAAGATAATTTATGAAGTAAAAAGCACTTATCCAAAGAAGAAACATCATCACTGACCTTTGCAATAGCAACAGCTTGCTGTGGATAATACAGGGAGGCACCAATCCCCATGAAACCTGCAGGATACACCACCTTCTTTATTTTTGAACCTGTTTCACAAGAGAAAATACATAGTTGGAATATACATTAGTTGAGACAACTGAATAGCCCTACCCAACTTTTATTTATAATATTTTATTTATCAACACTATTTTACTAAATTTAGTTCAGCATATTTTCTGTTTAGGCCTCCTCATTTCTTAAGAAACATGATAAACTGAGCAATGCTTTTTTTTTTTTCCTTGGGAAAATATTTATATTAGCACCTTTCCATACTGAAAATTACCTTACAACTATTTTTGCTGTGGCAGCACACAAGTAAATTCAGCACTGAATAATGAAGTCACAGTTAAGAAATACTGAATGAAACTCTATCAACTGATGCTTTTTTTCTAAACTGAAAGGCCAAGCTCAGGCAAGAAGGGTTAGGTTAACCTTCTTTTGAGAAATCAAGCAGAAGCAAGAGAAGTTTCACACCAAGGAGAACACTTTATAAGTTATGACTCACAAATACTGATTCTTCCACAGCTGCTCTTATGAAGAAGTTTTTGTGAGTCAATGTAACAATTTGCAAAGAATTTTTAAGTACTTTTCAACTAGGATACTTACAATCATGCTGAGTGCCTATTGCTTAATCGCCAAACGAGTTTTGAATTCGTTAATCTATTTCAATCAAATCTCTATTCAATAATAGAAGTTAAAAAAATTAAAAGCCTTAAGGAAAAAAAATCAAGGGGGAAAAAAAAAGCAAACTCATCATAGCTGGTCACAGATATGTATGTATGCTGTCTGCCAGTGAGAACTTGCAGTACTAATTCAGTTATAGGGTATGTTTCAATTTATCCCATCGGAAAAGGAATGGAGAAGGAAGCAGGCACAGCAAAAAAAGCAAGCAGTAACAGAATAAAAGGGAAATAGGTCGTAAGACATGGAAGAGATATGCAGGTGGCAGGATTTAGTGGTTCCGCTGGAACTTGGAGCACGGTTTGTTCTATATGCAAAGATATATTTACTTCCAATACAGAGATTCTTAATTCTGAAGAGGAAAAGCACATTAGAAGTATGTAGCATTTCCCCAAATATATTCCCATGATGAGATGAGAAACTGCTAATGGTAAACTGGAGCGACTTTCATAAAGCGATGTTGCCAATCTCATGAAGAGTATACCAATTCCAGCCAGCTCTAAGGAAGCTCCGGAAAGGGGAGTTTCACTGCATCTTTACAGACACATAAATGACCTTTTTGTTTGTTTAATTTCTAGAAATGGAAGAATTCTCCTTAGTGATGGTTTATCAGAGCATAACTACAGTATCACTTTAGGAATTATTTTAAAAGATGAATGGAGTATTGCCTTCCAGGAGCCTGTTACCTGCTGGAGATATACATCTGACAGGAGGTTAGGAATATCCCCCAATCCATTCCAGTGCAAGGCAACCAGGTTAAAATAAATTACTTTCAACAATATTTTAAAATCAACGTTCATGGCTTGAGTCTGAATACAATACTTCCTACATAGTGAGCAGTAATATCTTCAAATGCTACAGTTAAACCTGGAAGAAATTATTTATCTGTGCTTTCCAGGAGGGCATTTCAGATTTCCTGTTTGCTCAACATATCTGGAGTCCAGTAAGGTACGTTTTTACCCAAAGCGAGTTTTCGTTAGTATTTAAATTCTACATTTTTTTTCTTGTGTTACCTCAATTCACTGTATTAAGAATGTCTCACTATAAACACAAAGTATATTTCTATAACTTATCATTCTTTAAAACACACATTTCTGTCAAAGCATCACAAAATACATCTGTATTTATACAGTATCCAAAGTTCCCAAGTCGAGTATTTTGGCTGGAGATTACCATGTGCAGCAGGTCTGCACCTGGACACATAATACTTTCAAGTACGTTGTATACACAACAAATCGTACATGTATCATAGTTTAAGAATCTCTCTAACCATAATTTCTTTCTCCCATTATCAGCAGTGACATATGTGATCGAGAACTTCAGCAACTATAAAGATTTTTAGTCTAAAAAAGTCATTTCCTACTTTTGTTACAACTGAAAAAGATCCAAGATTAGATTCTAGTCACAAATACAGGTTCATAATCAATAGTGAATGGATATTATGCATATATGGATATTAGGTGGAGTTCCTTTATAATGGGATGAGCACTACAGAAACACACTTGGAACAGTTAAGTCAGATCTCATGTCTCTCAGTTAAAAATAGGATCCCCTCCAAAGAAGAAAAAAATCCCACAGAGAAGTGATTTACCCCAAATCATGACACAACCAGTTCAATGGCTTCCCACTTACCTCTAGCAAGAAACAATCCAACAATTCCAGCAAAACCAACCACACCAAGCCTTGGATAAAATCCAGGAGGGGGATTTTGGAGAAACTCACAGCTCTCTGAAAAGAAGTCAGAACACAGTGCATTAATGTAATGTGAAAGTGTTTTTGTGATAAGGAGCCATCAATACATGCTGGCAATTATTACAAGACACAAAGAGTTATCAAAACACATTTAACTATCATGCACATCTTAGAACTGCTGGCATAAAATTCAAAGCCTTTGAGATCTTCTCTAGTGACACATGAATGAAACTGAACATCGTATTGTATTTACCAATTTTCATAGAAGATTTGTCTTCACTTCTGTTTTGTTTTGCTCTTTTGCATCTATCTCATATCTTTTTCAAGTTGGGGATAAAAGCCTTTACAAAATGGATTATTATGCTTATATGTTAAGAAGAATTAGTTTTGATGCAACCTTACAAAGAAACAAATGACAGAACAAAACAAAGACACAGCAGAAAACAAAGATGCCCTCAGACGGAGGCTGATGGGGGAATAACCTTCCATAAAGAGCAGGTCAAAAGACTGTTAAACTGAGGGAAAATATAATTAAAGCTCAGGATCTGAAATGAGTTCCAAAGAGGTAGCTGTTAGCATCCATACTCAGTCTTGAGGAGCTAAAATATGAAAGGATGCTTTCAGAACAAAAATAGGCAAAATTATTTTGAATAAACTCAAAATATTTAGGAGATCCAAAGAGGTAAACCAAAACAATAAAGTTAAACTTAGCAAAAATAAGACCCAACTCTATAAACAGAAAACAAACATTGCAGGAAGGTTCAGTTACAGGTCTGGGTCAAGCAAATACTATTGCATTATGTTTCTTCTTGGCTGGGAATAAATGGTGAGACTTCTTCACGTCTGTCATTCTTAATGGCACTGGATGCATAGAGCTGCACCCATAGACTCAGGGCTAAGATCTGAATTATGTGTCATAGTGGTCCACAAAGGAGCTGTGCACAGAATATCAGCCTTACATGCATGAAATACGAAATGTGGAATGATGCTTAATGGGATTCCTTTTAACATAAGCGAATATGCCTTTTAGTTGCTTGTAAAGAAAACTGAAAAACTGATTTACCTTTACCACGCTCAACAGCTTTTTCTAACTTTGGCATAGCTTTAGCATAAAGATCCTAAAGAAAAAAAAAAAGAAACAGTAAATAGATATCAACTAAGGAAAAATACTAGCTACCAAACTGTCACTGAACAAATGAAGAGAAATATTTTTAGCTTCCTAGAAAAAAAAAGGTTAATTTGCCTATAATGCATTTTTGTTTGTGTCTGTTAAAAAAATATATTTTTCTTTTCAAACTAGGAAATAAATCTGGGCATTGTTTTATTCTAATACACAAAACCAACAAAGAAACTAAGGAAAACAGAACCATTTTGCAGTTCCACTCAGCATACCAAGATTATTTCCCTTTATTTCCGCCTCCTCCCTTCACTTGCAGGTTTAGGCCCACTCAACACTATATTCTGCATAACATACAGCATTTTCTCAAGGTAGTCTTTGAACAGAGACCAAATCTAGTCTCCCCAAATTATTATCTCAGATTTCTCTGTATATGTACATACTGCAAAAAATCTTGAGTTAAGGTGGCAAAGGAAGAAAATACAGAACTAATAAACTCATTTCTAGCACTTCAGAGGGACATGACTCCGAAAACTGATAAATCTCCCTTCCAAGAGACAGTATCTCACGCCACCCCAATGGCATTTTTGAGATGATTTAGGAAAAAAAAAAAAGGCCAAAAGTGTCCAAAACAATTAATCAAAGAGGCACTACAGCAACTCCAGGAGTTATCTTTAAGTTTTTGGACTGACAGTAAGTAGGGAATATAAGGAAGTGGTTGGGGGCAGAAAAATCACACTGCCTTTTATCAAAGTTGAAATAAATCTCAATAGGAGCAACAGTTCTAGTTATGCAAAGACAGTTTATTCTTTGGGCAGACTGCACAAAACTATCCATCAATTAGAAAACAAATTCCTAAGCATATATGTCCTGATGTTAAAGAACAGAATCTTGATATCACTTGAGCTACATCTACGGGGAATTAAAAGCATTTTTTAGGCTACTATGCAGAGATAGGATCTTTAGAAGAACTTTCATTTCCTTATTAGCAGTAGGGACTTGCAAAAGTTTGTCACATAACTTTTTTTTGTGTATCATGTGACAGAAAAAACATAACACTAAATGAGTGACCATATTAAAAGCCAGTGCAAAGAGGAACACACTCTAAATATCCAGACACACTCTAAAAATCCAGAGACTAAGTCTGACATTCTGAACTGACACAAAACACTCATATCTACTTCTCTGTTTTGAATTTGCTTTCTATTAGAATTAAGCAATTAATTTTGAAAAAGAAGGTATATACATGTAGCCAATTCTAATTTCAATATCCTGTGTTATGGCTTTTAATTTGAAAGACAACGGAGACAGACACCTAAAATGTTATCTTAAAATTAGCCAGGGGAAAGAAAAAAAAACACATAGTCTCTGACTACAGTTAAACAAGCAAGATGACCCAAACCATGAAGTTTACATGCCCATGTCACAAAATGAGTCAGAGAATCACTGCAATGAAATGATCTGTTGTCTGACTAGAAGAGCTCATCTTACACAAATCACTACCATGTCGATAAGAATAAGGCAAATAAAGTAACAAGCCCAACAGGTAACTGGTGTCTTCTCAAATTTCACTCCCAATCACAGTGACAGTTACGAGAGGTAACCAACAGCACATCAGCATCTGAAGAGTTCGGACCACTAGTGATAGTGCAGAACAAACTCTTCCCATGCAAACCTCTTCCCTTCTGAGGAGCCCCTTAGAAACACGTAACCAGACTGCAAGCGGCCCTGGAAACTGCTTCAGGGAGACGCAGGTGCTATTAACAGTTACCACCACAATGCAGAATGAAAGGCAGGAAGCACAGCCCTGAGCACAACATCTTCACATTAGGAAGAGCAGTCTGCAGGCCAAAAACAAGATTCACAGCAGCCAGATGATGGGGTGGAGAATGACACAAAGGTGCCAAGAACAGACCAGAGGAAAGAAGCCATCCACCCTTCTGCTCTTTCAGGCCTAGGAATCTACACAGGAATTACAGAGAACATGTATTTCTGATTCACATTTAAGACTATGTCCACAACATTCCTTTAAAAAAAAATACATACCAATCCATGTTCCTTTCAGAAAACAGGAGTAAGCACATTTTTAAAAGCTAAGACTACCTGATCAGGTATTTCATGTGATATTCTCCCCAGTACAGCAGAGTTAAAAGCCTCAAGAGTCACTGGGTTAGAGGAGAGCCATGGCACAGCTCTGTGACCTGGTAACAAGAGTTTCAACCTAGATCACAAAGACCTTGCCTTTCCTCTATGCTCCAGAGACTATTTCTGTATTTAATGACTGGTTACACTACTATAAATATGCTACCTAATAAAATACAATAAAGACTTCAGGGATGAGGCCTCTGCACAGTGATGCTCTCTCTGAAGATCGGAGAATCATGTTCCTTCCCTGAACCTTCTGGTTCAGCAAATACCAGTCTATTTTCTACACAGTTGTGCCCCATCACAGCTGCAGTGAGGACCACTGATTCTTGCTGCCTCAAAATACACCACTGGTATTTTATGGCAATCCCTTTGAATGTGCAAAATGCAAAAATACTTTGCTGCTACCTAAACATCCTTATAAATCTGAATCCTTTCAAGATTTTTTAAAGTAATTCTTTCTTTTCAATTCAGGAATGTTTTAATTATCTAGAAACAAAATCCTGGCTCAACCCATATCACCAAATGACCACCACATTTAACACAAAACTATTGTACCTGACACCAGGCTGTGTATGGCTCCATAAGATGCCGCAAATGTGAAACCCCTTCTTCCAGTTGGGTTTGTGGCTGTTCCACATATTTAGTCTCACAAGCTGGAGAGGAGTAGAGTGACAGCTGTGAATATTAGCAAACAAGAGGTTAAAAACAAGGATGTAATGATGCATATAGGTCTTCAGGGCA